CTTCTTTTGATTGTAATTTATTTGATTTTGATAAATGTAACCTTTTAGATTAAATTAAAACAAAAACAAAAATAGTATTTCAAGTTTATGCCATTTTAATTTACGATGGCATGATCTAGGAAAAAGAAAGAAGGATGATCACCTGCATCATTCGACGTCGTTCGGAAATTAATATTTAATCGAATTCTTCTGCTTCCTTGATTTAGTTCGTAGAAAGTAACAACCCATAAAACACGTTTTCCATTCGTATCTGATACATTCAAAGATGAAATTTCGAAATTGCCTTCGATCATCATGATGTAATCAATAGTAGAAAATGAAATGAAAAGTAAGAAATCATGACTCCAGCCGATTATGCGAATAAATAGTATGAAACAGTTTTTAGACAATATCATTATTATTTGACTTATGTCTAGTAGGGATTTACTATTAGAACAAAAAGAAAGGAACATCGTGTGCATCATCGTGACATAAATCTGGATAAAAAAATGAAGAAAAGAAAAAAGAGAAGAGAAGTAACATTCTAGTGAAGAATTTAAAGAAATATAAGATCATTTTTTTAATATGTTTGTCATGCCGTGTGTAAAAAAATTGAGTATGAAAGAAATCTCAGTCTCATTGAGTTGTCATAGTAGATTAAGAGTGGTTAGAGCTTGTTTGGATTATTATGACAGTAATCATAAAAGAATTATTTGCCATTAATGCAGACGAACGATATTTTCTAATGGCCAATGATGAATTAAAAAAGAAAAAAAACATTATCTCATGAAATTTATCTATTAGGAATATCTCTCAATGATAGTTTTATTTTGCTTAACAAGTTGATATTACGAGATAATTATTTAGAGAAACTCTAATTGTGATGAAGAGTTTCGATATTGAAATATATTCAATATAAACAAAGCACTTTTTAGTCAAAGACCTGTGGATTCGTGCAACTCAAAATTTAGCTGGTTATTAGAAAATTCGAAAAAAATTTATTACGGTCTTTTCACTAGTTTCTTCTTGTTCTTAGTTTTAATCTAGACATTACCCATTAGAACATTTGATTTTGAGTAGTGGTTTCCGGTCTTGATGCATGCATGAATGACAAGGTATTCATTAAGTTATTGTCTAAATAAATTAAGTTCCGTAAAATGAAATATAAGCAGGCTACCAAAGGATTAAACTCAAATAACAGATCTTCAATTATTTGCTAACTGAGAAACATTCGTTTATTTCATTTGGATTTTCTCAACGTACTTAAAAAAGAAAGAATTATTGATAAGAAACGTCAAGAGTTAGGAGCAGCTATTTTTTAAACTTATTCAAAAATTGAAATAACTAATTTTTCTTGGCACCATCAATGATTCGTGCTTTTTTCATACACCTGGATGAAGTACTTCAGACTGTTGTATAATACTTTCCATGAGAAAAAAAGAGATGTATCCTTTTGTGAATCGTAAAATATCTCTTGATTAACAGATTCTTTAAAACCTTGTGACTTGGAGCAGTTTCCATCTCATGCAAAGCTTTCTCTTCTGAGCTATTATATTTATATTATAGTTCGCTAGTTGTTACAAGACTATATGACAGATAGAGTAAGCAGATTTTTATGGCGAATAGCTTTTGTTTATATTTTAAGCATTCTATTGATTACACAAGGATTATCTTTTGCGATTTGATCGACCCCTGCGGATAGCGATTGATTGATTTTTCTGATAAAAGAAGAAGAAGAAGAAAGACAACCGAACAGACATTGAATGACTATCGACGTCAATATGTATGTACAACTTTTAGAATTTGGCACGAGTATCATATACTCGAGTCTTTTTTTCTTTCTCGTCCTATTCTAGATATTCTGTCTTCGAGTGTTGATATTTGTACAGGTGCCATATGATATCTAGCCAGCAATTGCAGAGAGAACGACAAGTGAGACTTTGACGTGTTTGGTTGATGACGAAGACAATATAAACAATTGTGAAGAAAACTGATCACACCAGGCGTTTTTTCACCATTTGTGTGGCTACGAAAGCTAACAATCGCAATAACCTGCTGAGATAAAAAATAAATGTGTGACGTACAAAGACATTTAGGTGAGTCGATACACTGGCTCGGTTTTGTCAGAAGTTGAAGACAAGTAACAGAACTTTTTCTCTTTCTATATTAATTTTATCAAAGTAAGAAAAACGTTCTTGTTATCGATAAGAGTGTTTGATGGTTTGACATTTACGCTATTAGTTCGTGTATATTCCTTTTGCCAATCAGTTTCCTAATGTTTCCATTAAAAACTGAGTAACAATACAGAGAAAAGAGCAGATAAGAACATCTTTCTATTATTACCCTTATCAGCATTGCTGTAGACGATTGTGGTGAGTTACTGTCGATTTGTTTTTTTCTCTCTCTCTTTTTCGCTGACTGTTTGTCTTATTAACTCATTTGCTTGGTCTTTCTTCTTTTGAAAAATAAGAGCAGAAAGTCAAATATTGAGAAAACGCTAGAAAAGAAAGAAAACTCTTGTTCATTTCCTTTCTGCTTGGATGCATGTAAACAAGTTGTGTACTAAAAAAGAAGAAACGTAAGAAAGAATAGAAGAAAACGAGAAATAATGATAAACCAACACTTTCAACAATTGCAATAAGGTATGAACGATTCTATCATGCTGATAAGTATTTAAAGAAAACGAAATTTACTTTAACCTCAGAGTTTACTGTTGAATGTTCTCAAATATAATTAAAAAATGAATTAATTATCCACTTCAATTTCTACCATAAAGTATTTTCAGCATGCAAGATTAAAAATACATTCAGATAATTTTATAAGGAGATGTTCTTTTCTCTTTCTCTTGATAAAGATATAATAGGCAACATAAAAATCTGTGTAAATTATCTTGATCAAATGTGCTCGAGTTGAATAAGGATTAATTTTCATAGAAATCCTATCGATAAGAGATTCTTGTATAAATATATATATATATATGTCACGAAAAAGAAAAGGCTATGCGTGAGTCTAACGCTAAATTAACCCTTAAAGTAAGCTTTGAGTAAAGATTTCTTTCATTTGAAAAATACCGACTTAAAATTATTGCAGTTTTATTATTCGAAATTTTTTGTGCTTCATCAATATTTTCATGCAGGTTTCATTTTCATTAAAGATGTTTTTTTGTTTTTTATTCATTAGATATTGATCAAGTTCCTATTCGATTCTATCAAAAAGAGCAACAACACAAAATACAACAGTAACAAGGTAATTGTTTATGTTATCTGCGTCTAGTTGAAGCAGTTTCGTACATGAAATTTAATATATACAGAGAGCACTGCAATTATTAATTATCTACTTTCGATGGTTTCTTTTTCATTGTTTCTTTTCTCTTGACAACTGTCGTTGCTTTTTGTTGGGCAAATTTCGCCTGCGAACTTAGCTTTTCTTACTTTTACATTAGTTATTTCACTTGTAACATTCTTTTCTTCTTCGATCTTTCTCTTTCGTTTCTTATCGAAACTAAACCGACGAAACAAAAAATAAAAATAATATTATATCGATACAAATATATATATATAATAGACTACTTGTCAATAGCAATTAAGCACGGATAAGTTTATTAGATAAATCATTTTTTGAAATATTATACAATTGATTGATATCATTATTATTGTGAACAACGCAGACTGTCACTTTTAAAATGCATGTTTAATATCAATAATCAAGGCAATTTTTCTCTTTTACCGTTCATGAAGTAGTGCTGGTAAGTATCATGAAGAGAACACTTAACATGTGAATGACAAGCTGGTCAACTTTTATAATTATATTGAGATAGAATGAGATTTCAACATCACATAGGCGAATATATGCAAGAAAAAAATAATACTAACTGACTGACTATGCAATCTGTTTTTATGGCGATTTAATTATTTATGCTTCTGGATATGAGCATGATTTTTAATTATAAATTATATCGTGATAGAGTATATATATATGTATATATATATATATTTTTTAAATTTATGAACTACTATGGCTGAAATTGAATATTGACAACGATCTGGCAGTGCAATCTATTATATCAGTTGACATAGGATTTAGCCTGACCTGTAGATCTAGTGATAAAAACATCCACTCTGTTTTTCTTTCTCTCTCCAGCGCTATCATAATATAATTAACAGTTTTTCAAGACGCAGGCAAAAAAAAAAGACGAAGAAAGAAAGGAAAAGGAAGCAACAAGTTTTTCCTATCTCTTCCCCGATGAATTCAAACTAAAAGCCTTTCTCTGAACATACTTTGGATTTGATTGAGAACCAACAATCAATCATGTTAACAAACATGTCTCATAGTTGAATTAGTACTATGTAATAATTCTTTCTTTTCTTCTTTCGAACTCGACCCAATTCCTATTATACTCCGTTCGATTTTAAAGACAGACAAATATCATATTACGAGAGAGGAAAAAAAGTAAGTTAAATACTCATTTCTATCTATCTACATCAGAAGAATATTTGCCTTTAAATTGTTCCATGGGTTCAAAATAAATTTAATATTCGATAATAGAAAATCAATAATACGAGATGACTAAGTCAACGAGTCAAATATTTATTTTATGATTGCCACGGATTGTGAAAAACATACTTGACAAGTACCTTGAATCAAATATAGATAAGTGTCTTGTATGTTTTGCTTTATGTGTCATGATATAACATTAAAATTAGTTCATAGCACTATACTTAATTGTTCTTTCTGTCTGACGCACACATGCATACAAGTATAAAACGTTTTTTCCGTAATGAGATTTTCTAGTTTTTTCTATTCGACCACCTCTTCTACTTATATTAGTTGTCTTCAATTTACGAGACATCTGCTTTTTGACTACACTTACATGTCTCTCATCTGATGATGATATAGAACTTGAGCTAGATCTACCAGAGAATGCCATTGGTTCCATCATTCTATTCTTGTTTCGTCTGTCTATTTTCCTCTTCTATCTATAAATACATATTGTAGTGTGAAAAGCTCATTGGTACTTTATAATGAATACCAATCAAACAACTGATATTGATACTTTAATAACTGAAGAGTTCTTATTACAAACTGACAACTTAACAACAACTGTTAAAACTAATGTACAATATTCACGTACGGGTGAACTTATTATTAGTATCATCGTAAGTGAAGATTTTGTTTTTTTTTCTTTGAAAAAAAATTGTCATTCTTTTATTATTCAATACAAGTTTTTTGTTTTGCTCTTAGACGTATTCCATCATTATCATATTAAGTATTATTGGTAATGTCATTGTTGTTACAGCCATATGTCGTGTTCAACGATTGCGGCATCCAACCAATTTTATACTTATGTCACTAGCTATTGCTGATTTACTTGTCACCACAACAGTTATGATACCAGGATTCATATATGAAATAAAACACGAATGGATATTTGGAAGAGTTTTTTGTAATGTTTGGGTAGCTAATGATATCACATTTTGTACAGCATCGATATTACATCTTGGTAAGTGATGCATAAAAAAAAGTTTTTTTGCTTATTGTCGATTTGCATATATATATATATATATATGAAATGTTTGGTTTTTTTTTTCGTTGCACATATTTTAGTTGCAGTCAGTTTTGATCGATATGTTGCTATTGAGAATCCACTTAAATATAAACAGAAAATGACGAAACATATGATTTTTATTATCATCGGCTTTATTTGGTTAATTAGTGTTCTTCTTTCTTACGGACCTGTTCTATTAGGTGTTTATAGTCAATCAAAAACCATTGGTAATCTATCGGATTCAAAGGAATGCGGTATGAGACCCAATCGTATCTATTCGATCATATCATCGTCAACATCATTTTATATTCCGCTTATAATTATACTGTTTCTCTACGGTCGAATATTTATAACAGCACGAAAACATTCTAAAGAATTACAAAAACTCGAAAATATTGTTAAACGTTTGCATAGTAATGAAAAATTTGTATTTGAAAATGCGAAATGGAATAAAAATATCAAAGCTATAAGAACATTGGGTATGAATGAATTAACAAATATTAATTGAAAAACTAAAATCAAAATCTATTTATTTTATTTTATTTTGTATTCTAATAGGTATTGTTGTTGGTGTATTCGTTGTGTGTTGGTTACCATTTTTTGTTATGTACCTTCTGCTAGCCTATTGTGATTATCAATGTGTTAATTCATCTGTAGAACGATATATTACTTGGATCGGTAAATTTTGCATTAGTGAAATTTTTAGTGAAATTTTTATTAATGATTTTAGGATATGCGAATTCGTTTTGTAATCCAGTAATTTACGCTTTTTCAAATAAGTAAGTAGTAGTGCTTAACGTTTTTTTTTTGTTCTTAAACTATGTAATTATTCAAAGCACAAAATAAGAGAATGCCAGTGCGTTCTTTAATTCCGAAGGAAATACAAAGAAAAGAATATGCTTTACGGACGAAGAAGTCTTTTGTATACTATTAGTTATTATATTAAGATTTTAGCAATAACAATTCAATCGTATTTATCGGAGGTTCCTTTTCTATGGAGTAAATTCTAATGAACCGTTATTATTAGAAATCCGAAATAGTTTTTATATGTAGGAAAATAAAATATGAATTAAACAGTTGAATGATAATAACGGGTGATTGAACGAGAAAATGATTACGAATGAGGAATAATGTCGAGTCGTTGAAGTTTTCAATAGAAACTTTGTTTCTATATGAAAACATCAATCATCGATATTAAATTTTAAGTTGAGTAGAGACAGATTAAGATGTTTTTCTTTCTCTTGTCAAGTCATCTAGAACTTCAATCATGATTGTTATGAATTTTATAATCTTTTTCTCTATTGGAAAAATTTGTTGATAAACAAGACAATGAACTTTTAGCAACAAACAGACATATGAACCGAAACTGCTATTTCCTATCAATATTTTCTTGTACTTGGCATTTACACCATAAAAAAATGTTCATATCTTTATCTAATTAACTTATATATGATTATGAATATGGCATTCACTCTGACGTGATTATAAAAATTGATTTATTTGTCTTGCTAATTTCATTATTAAGCCGCCATGGTTGAGTGGATATGTTATTCGACACATATTCACAAGATACTGTGTTCAAACCACAGTATCACCAACCATGGAATAACCCTGAACAAGTTACTAACGGCTAATTGTTCCGGATGACTCATCCGATAGCGTATCGATTATATCATTAGTCAGTATGCAGAGTCAAAACAATAACTTCAACATAGATGTCACGGTCACGTGATCCTATGATGATCGTCAACCCATAATGATTAACGAGGGAAGCGTTGGACGAATGGGGTGCAGATACCGTCGTCTGTAAAAGAGAAAAACACGATAGAACCTGACTGCTTGTGGACCCTTTAGCGCCGGCCCCAACGGGCGATAAGTCTATGGGAGATATTATTATTATTATTATTAATTTCATTATTAGTCTTGCTATTTCATCGGAACAATCGATTGATGATAAGAGAATGTCTACGAAAAATTTGTTTTACTGTGCTATGAAATGCAATCAATCGTTTTGTTTTTCGTAATTATCGATTTGAATAAATACTATTGAAAAGTCAATAAATTATTTCTCAACAATACTATAAATAGAATCTGACACTTATTCGACACAACAAAATCTATTAGCCACAAATATAAACTACTAGTTCATTCGAGTACAAACAGCTGTATCGAAATAATAAAATATTTCACTACTCTTTACGTATATATATATGTAGAAGCTATTAGATTCGAGTCATATAAGGTTTTATTAATCCATTCATGGGATTCAATTTCATTTCATTAGATCATATTTTCTTTTATTTAGAGAGTTTCGAAATGCATTCTTTGAAATTCTTCATTATAATAATTGTCAATGTACTCAATTGTTATCGACATACAAAATGCGTGCATCACTAAGTAAATCGAACTATTCAATAAATACGAAATATACACCACAAGCAGAATCACGACATGCAAGTTATACACCATATTTTAATCAAATGCAACGTAATGGTTATCTTACTTACGAAACTTCTGTACTTAAAATGCTTAATAAACCGAAGAAAAGTGAAAGTACTGATACATTTGAAATGAAAACATTAGAAGGACAACGTCCAACACTCGAAGCATTTAATGAACTTGAACATTTTGTACAGAATACGATTCCTGATCGAGCGATTATTGCTGAAATGAGTTCTTTACTTTACGATCAAGATGATGTAAGCATTGAAATACCAGTTATAAGAAAGACAACAGCAACATCGCATTCAAATAATTCTTGATCGTCTTCAATATCGTGTTAATACGCTGTCATTTATTGGGTTTGATGACATATCTCCTTATGCCATTGGCCATCGTCTATGTGTATATGTATATATAAGTATGCATACGTGTGCTCTCTCGATAACGGTGATTCTATTGACAACAAAAGCCCAGTGCTTAATTTTTTGAATTATATATGTGCGCGTACAAAATTTTGTGAATATTTGTTTTTTTTTACAATTAGCTTTGAATAATAATATTCAATCCGGTACTCTGTTATACAGATTTTAGTATAAGCTATTTTATTTTCAATATTTTCCTTTATTAAAAACAAAAATCAACCATGAAGTAATAACAATTCAAAAGTGTCTCGAAAATAATTATCAAAGAAAATCTTTCTTTTGGTTTCATCTATCTAATATCCAATATGATAGTCTATGTTCAATCCTGATATGTTTTGTTTGGTTGTTTATTGTTGCACTTGCTTCTCCTATTATTAACTTAGGAGGAAAAAAAAACACAGTGTTAATATATTTTTTCGCCTTAACTTAATTAATATTGATGGATGTTCTCTTTCAATATTGATATCTGTCAGACACATTGATGACACGAGTACTCGACTAGTCTATAGATATTTCAATAGTACGAAGAGTATCTCATGATCCTCTTGAGTAACTACTTAAATGGAATAAAAAACAGCAACCCTTTTAATCAAAAAATAATATAAGAACAAATATGCTATAAATAACATTGAAATGAAGGTACGAGATAAACAAGATTTTGCATTTTCGGTGTAATCCTGAAATATTCATTATTAGATTTTATTCAAATAATTAGTCTTTTGAATGACCGTGAGTTTTTTTCGCTGAGAAAATTAGGACATAGAATTTTTCTTGATTAAGCCTATTTTCATAATAGTAATATTTTCTGTATATAACCTCTTATTGACATAGTTAATCCATTAATCAATGTTGTCACGATAGTTTTAGATAGTGTCAAACTTGTGCTAAAAATTAACTCATTTGGTTTGAGAAGATTCATATGACTCATAGAATTTATTCAAATAGAAATAGAATACCGAGAAGAAATATTATTATCACTAAACACATCACTATATTTACAGTACAAATAAGATTCGGCTTTTACACGTTCGATACGACTCACTTTAACTTGTATGTACAATCGATTAACTGGACTCCTTAAGAAATATCTTCATACATCAATATAGATTATGTTACAGCAGCCATTATGATAAGAGTATCGAATGGATTTCTATTGAAGCAACATAAAATACCAATTGATTTGTTGAAAATAAAAACTACTCTACTCATGTTATGCGTTTTCCGAAATCGATATTCGTGAACCTGAGCAATTCATGAAGAGTAAGAAAATGCTGGATTGATTTTAATCATAAGTAGAAATTACAATAAATAAAATAATAGGGATACTCTAGAGTATAATGTGAAAAAAATCTATTCAACAGCACACTTGTAGATTTGCAATATTATTGTTTTTCCATTCTTAGTCTTTGTGACGATGATTATCTTACTACTACCCATCTCAAGATTAATGTTTTTCTTCATTTATTTATGATTTAATTCAACACATTTGAACAATGTAAATAATTGACCAACCAACAAGAAATATAGACATATGGCATTACTATTCGTCGCTTTTTTCATATTTACGTATGTAAAGAGTAAAAGGGAAAAATACTATGATTTTCTGCAAAAATGATCTGAATGACATTTACATTTTCCTATCAAGTAAAAAACATGCTTTTCTTTATTATTTTTTTTTCTAGTATTGATTGCTATTTATTACTGTCATAATTATTGCAATCTATTTGTTCCTATATAATACTGCTTAGAAGAAAGAAAAAACTGAATAATAAATTACCCTTTATTCTCTTAATAGTAAAACTTATTTCTCTATTATTTAATAATTCTCCTCGCCATATTCAATTGAAAATTTACATGGGTAGTAGAAGTTTGAAAGTCTTAGATAAACAACCCTGTCCTGCCAAGATACAACAAGATAGAACAAGTTGCCGGGTACAAGTACCGCAACTTGAAAATCTGTGACTAATCTGATGTATTAGATATTACCGATGCCTTTCCAAAACTACATAGGAAGAATTCATTACAAAACGAAAATGAACTGACATTTAATTTAGATCGTTCTCCAGAGCATTCTCAATATAAAGATATGTACCACTAATGTATTTTTTGTGTTAAATATCTACTGAAATCTACATAGAACTAATTAGTGCGAATTTTATATTAGTATATTCTTCATTATCATTAATATCAGCTGGTCTTTCCTGCTATTGATATATTATCTATGTCATAATGAAAAAAATATATATAGAACAAGAAAGAGCAGCTCGTAAATTCTGATCTTTTTGATAATATTTGAACGATGAGTACGAGCGGTGCTTCAGTTTTACTTTTGAGCTAATACTTGAGGCGTAACAAGGGGGAGGGAGGGGGGGGGGGCTCAGCCTCCCCTACAGGGGTCTTAGCTTCCTTCCTAGAAAAAATAAAATCCTGTGAAAAAATAAGTTTAGCCCCACCGATACAATTTTTTTCTGGTGACGCTCCTACCTAATACGACAGTATAACTGTAATCTTCAATGTTTAAATAGATTTTTTTTAAAGCGGTTTTGTTATAAAAATAAAAGATATTCATGTGGAAAAATCTACCTTAACTTTAGCCACTGCAAGAAGAGTAGTTTTGTAATTAAGTATCACCCCTAATCATGAGAAATGTTCGAGATATAAATGTTACTTATTGTTACATTATTGTTGATTCTAATCGAATGAGATATTACAGTGACCTCATGCAATATTTTGGATCGTTCTTTAGTAGCAAAAAGTACACAGTAGGCTATAGGGCTTCCTAAAACACGAACCCTATAGCTCTCTAAACATGATCGAATATGAGTATAGCAGATTGAGTATACTTTATAGCACGCATCCTCCACCAATTATTACTAAATAGTAGGATTTCAACTAAATTCTACATGTCATACATGAAATTCCCTTAGAATTAAAGAATTTCATTGACGGAATTCGACTTCAAGAATGAAGTCGAATCTATAGTCTGATCGTATCTTCACAGATCGACCATATATTCTGACCATTTGAAACTATGTCTTATACGGCCTGAAGCGGGTATGCAATGACATGATGGAACATTTATTTTCACGGGATTTCTCTCATTATTTTCGTCACTTTCAGTCAGCTCAGAAAGAGGTGTCTGTTTTTTTTAGGTTTTATTTAGTTTTTGTGAAGTTACCCAGGTCAAACAAGCTGTTAGCGTTAGTGATATAACTTCCTAAAGCTAAACGAAGATTAAGATGTTCTTCTAGTCTAACTGGTTAGGACATCTGGCCGGATAGCGGAAGGTGTGGGTTCGAGTTCCACGAAATTCACTTTTTCTTCGTTCTGTCACATAACATCAGTAACACTACTTGTCTCTTTCGCTTTTGATATATCTCTCTTCCATTCCTTAGAGTAGAATGGGGTTATTGAATATGAAAAATCGCTCTTCTTTTTTGTAGCTATCGTAACTCGGTCAATTTTCAGATTTTTTTTCTAATTTTTTTTAATCGATAGTTGAGTGTCTTCTCTACAAACTTGCGTAAAAATTACTAAAAATAGATTGTCGAAAGTTGTTGAATCGCTTTTTTACTAGTAGCTCCTACAAATAATTTGCAATTACCCCATACGAGGCAATTGCAAATAATAGCTGTGTAGCGTGAGGTAATTGCATATTCCCAGCTATTTTACATGGAATGACTAAAAATCGATTTTTTCATCAACCTTACAAGATTGATTAGTAATTTTTTCACAGATCGATAGTGCAAGGGATTCTCTTCAAACGGTGAGAATCTTACCGTTAAGCTTATCATAATGTTCAAATAGTTATCGAAGTAAAAATTTTAAAAATTTATGCTTTTCCCCCACTTGGGGAAATTGCATATAGCTAGGCAAAATGACTGAGAAAATTCATATATGATGTAAATCAGTTTTTGATAAATCTATAGGTGCCCAGGTTAATCAAAACGCACTCGTTTACAGTCTGTTTATCGATGGTAAACGATGTCAAAACGGTATATTTACGGAAGTAAATAGGCCGTATTTGCTCGTAATACCTGGCGCAGTAATACGGCACCGTAAGCGGGACTGAATTTTCATGGTTTACGGCTGTTTGTGCTCCGTACTCTCATGATAATACGGTCCGTATTACTGCGCCAGATATTACGGCAAATTTTCGCCCGTAAAATAGTCGTAAAGTAACCGTCAATATCCGTATACGGACCGTACTGTTCGACCTGGGTGCTATTCAAAATTGTCTGTTACCTAAAAGGTGTAAACATAAAACTCTATTAATGTAGATCAATTCTTGCTTGTTTCTTTTTAAGACTAAACTAAAAAATAATAATTACAGTTATGAATAAACAATTTTTTTGCGAAAAGTTTTATTTTGATATAAGATTTTTCGTACATGAAAATGTTATGCATTGAATTATGTTCGTTTCCTGTTTGCACTCAAATAATTCTTATTCAGAAAGATGCCATCGACTAGTCAATTGTTTTTGTATGAAATGACGAGAAGAAAATAATGAAAGTAGATCGACCAGACTATATATTTTGTTGTCGTAGTTGTTTTGAATTTGATAAAAATCATCATTGTGCTGCTATATTCATTTATTTAAAAAATATCAATGGTGCGTAATTACATTCGTAAACGAAATTCATCAACCTACAATGAAAAAACAGTTGCTTGATACTATTGAGAAGATAAGCAGGGGTCAATGGGCATATAAACAAGCATAAGAAAAACCAAAATATCTACATGTACATTATCTACTCGAATTACAAGGGGTTCATCGAATCAACTTTGACATCCAACAGCGTTAACCCTAACCGAAGAAGAATATTTAGTGAAATTAATTGAAACGTTTCAAGATTGGGAAGAGTTGTACACTTTTAAAGATGTAATAAAATATGCAACGGAATACGTTAATTTGATGGATCTATAATCACGTTTTCGATTCGGTGCACCTACCAAAGAATGGTATTATGGATTTACCAAACGATGGAGTCGTAGATTAAAGACAATGAAAAGCATTCGTTTAGAAAAATCACGAGCAGGCATTACGAAAGAAGTGGTAAATGGATTGTTTTTGAAGCTATATTCAGTATTTAAATAGTTGGATTTACTGGACAAACCAAGCAATATATTTAATGCCGATGAATATGGCTTCGGTGATGATCCTGGACGAAAAGTGGTATTGGTAAAACGAGGGACAAAATATGCAAATCAGTAAGATTGTTTTTTCAATATTACCTTTTAGTAAAAAAAAGTGTGACGTAAAATTTGAGCAGACTAAATATTTTCCTTAGTGTCAGTTGCGACGTTTTTAATTTTTTAGGGTTCACGGTGGAAGTGGAAAATCACACACAACCGTTTTATTAACTATCAGCGCTGATGGCACCTGTCTTCCACCACACATTATTTATAAGTCGCTAAGACTATACGATCAATGGTGCCAGAAAAACATTATTCCGGGTGCCGTTTACAATGGCACTGAATCGGATTGGATAGATGATAATTTTTTTATGACTATCTAGTAAAATCATTTATTCCTAAAACACGTCATATTGCACGACCATTGGTACTCATACTCGATAATCATTCCACTAATTTATCCATTAGAACCGCTAAACTAGCTATTCAACACAACATTCATATATTATGTTTATCGTCTCATAGCACACATTTGCCTCAATCATTAGATGTTTACATATTTAAGTACGTAAAAACTCAATGGAGAAACTTGCTATGGCAATTCAATAGATCATCACAAAATAAAATACTTGATAAACCTGATTTCGTCAAGTTATTTGCTAAACTATACGATTATGCATTATTAACTGCTCATTGTTCACCATCATTTGCAAAAGCCGGTATTTTCCATATGATCCACGTATAATTCGACAAAATAAATTAATAAATAATGGTGTTGATGTATCAGGGTGCATAGTAAATCAGAATTCTATTCAGCGATCATTTTCAGTTGAGTATGATTCGGCATCACGGAACAAACATTCAATATCAACAACTGCTAAATCAAATACATTAATTATGTCTTCATCAGCACCAAATTGACGTTCAGGTAACTAAAAATTGAACTATTCCTAAATTTGTCAGTGCAATTAACATCTTTTATTTACCTTTTAGCAGACCATGCATTGCACCAACGATCCAACGATCTTATGTTTCTTCCATATAATAACAATGCTTCTGAACGACCAGTTCTAAGTCCAGCTATAAGTCTACAATCTGTTGTATCTCCAATAAATAATATATCACCAATTTCAAATGAAACACCAAGTATTAATCAATCATTCCTTGCTGTTGCAATCACAATCGATGTTTCATTATCGTCGTCGTCAAATGATCCACTTGTTAGTTCGTCGTTTAAGAAATCTACAGAACAAGGTAAAATAAAATCTTATATTTGTATGAACAAAACATTAATTTTTTAGATAAAAATCTTTTATCAGCTATTGAGAAAATTGTGAAAAAATTTTTTACGTAAACAAAAAAATACTAATAAAAAATTAATGTTATCAAGAGAATTTGGAACAAGTATCACCGATCTTGATGAACTAGCGTTGACCAGCATCAAGAAGAAAAAACCTAAAATCAACAAAACTACATCTAAAAAAAAAGAAAATGCATCTAAAAGACGTACAACAATTGAAAATACATTTGATATACTGAACTCAGAACAAAACAGATCTACTTACGACGAACATGCTTTCAACAATGCTAATCAATCATTTAATAATACTATAATATCTAGAAATGTATCAAAAATACAAAATGTACCTCTCAGCAACAATTTTTCAACTTTCCATAATACCCAGATCGATGATTCCGGTCTCCGGATCCTTCCGGAACTGGCCTAGAAGCGGCTTATTTCCGGTGATTTCCCACTGGCTCCCTAGTCTTTTTCACCCGATCCTGTAGGGAAAACAATAGGAAGTGGAGGCAGTATTCCATTCGGAAAACCCCGTATCCTGAGCCCTTAACTTCGTCGCAAATCCAGCCATAGGAAACTCTAAGGAACACACAATGATCCTGGAGAAGCAGAGAGGAGGAAATCAAGAATACCAGCGGAAACCTTCACATTCAAAACGGAAAAGCAAAGAATACTGATGGGACAAACCGAACGCACAACGGAGCCCACGATTCTGCATCCTGAAACAAATATGAAAGATCGACGAAGATCACTAGAGATCTTTATTGTGAGTACCTTAGTTATAAGGTATTTCTGTGTTTTGAAGATCCAGATCGATAGAAAATCATATTCTAAGATCTTTCCGCAAAGAAACGCTGCAATTCGAACTTGATTTAAGCCGGAAATCATGATTTTACTAATCAAGATTTTTGAAAGTGATTTGTTCTATTTACCTTAATTAGATGATATTCTGCTGATGGAAAGTACGACACTGATTGCAAATGTTGCTCAAGGAAGATCAATAACAAATCACAATCCTATATTGATTTTTGTTTTCAATTATCATCGATTAAAATCAGAAGTGGGGTTGAAATGATTTTGAGAGAGTTTTGGTATAAAAAAATATGCGAAGTGTTACCTGTGACTTACCTGAACATGTGTGTTGCGCCTCTGGAGTTGAAACTTTGAATGCTCACTCATGTAGATAGATTGGTGATCTTCAGGGTATTCATGTATCGCTAAGTCAGTTTGAAAATTCTCAGGCAGTTTTAAAGGCACTTTACTAGTAGTTGTATGGGCGAATGAATGAACTTCTAAGCGTCGAACACTGTTTTAGTATTTCAATACTTTTTTTGAGCGCTCTAGTTGTTGACATAGCTAACTCGGTTGGATTCGGAGAGAATGGTCTTAATGCTCCAGTGTCTGCATGTCACCTTCCGTTCGTATCTGTGACAGGTATGCTTGAAGACCTTCAAAATGATAAGATTTGAGTATTTTGTCGGTTTTTAGACTTTCCAGAGATGGATGTGTAATTTATTGCTTTTTATGGTGTCGATTTGTTTTTGTATCAGATGTTTTTGAACCCTGTCAATTAAATTAATTTAAATCAGCTAAGTAGTGGTTTCGTTTACCTAGTTATCGTGCATTGTCGCGAGAGATTATCTGAGCTAAATAATATCTTCTAATTTGAAGACACAACTCAATAGCCTATCATGGTCTCTACTCAACTATTGCTCTCAGCAGTGGATTGTGAGTTGTGCAACCTCTTACGCGGTATTTTGTATCCAGTCTGCTTGTTTTCACACTGCTGTTAATTTCGTACTAATTAAAACTGCTTTAAGAATGACTATCATGTCCAATTTAGTCCAATGTTCTGAAGAGAGCCGGAATTTTTATCAATGCTTTGTATGGAATTATAACTTTTTCTTAATATTCCATACATTTGAACATTGAATATGCAATTGTATTCTAGAGATTTTTTTGAGAGAGCGATCCAATTGGTCGATTGTAAGGCATTAAAGTCATGTAGTTATAAAGAATACGTTTTCGAGTAGATCCTATCGTTTCCGGTTGCGGGATTAGACCGTCTGAAAGAAAATAAAAGCGGTCGGATCTGGGCGGTGCAACCGAATCGGAAACGGCAGCGGAATTCTGGCATTTCATACGGTAGCAGGAACCAAGAGGGAAGAAGCCGTAAACGGTAGCCATAGTCTCTCCCAGAATACTGCTTCCATGTTTTTGCCGGAATTTCACCGGAACCAACAGTTTCCCGCCGTACGGTTCGGACCTGGGTATTAATTCCTACGTTAGCCATCTTAGTATCAGATAAAGTAAACACATACGAAAATATGACCAATTAAACTGTGCTCATTCTATTTGTATTCCATGGTGGTAATCCAATTTTAATAGGATTTATGCCAAAAGTAATTGGTATTACATTAGATATGTAATATTAATCAAAATTAGTTAGATTAATAATATGTCGTAACAATTTTTTGCGACAGAATCAACAATAAAATCCAGTTAAATTCATTAATTTGTTGATTTTAATCTAAAAATGTTGTTTACTCGACTGTCTGTAATGCTTTTTGGAAAGTTGGTTTCAATCCTACTCTAAGCAGTAATTCTGCAGATTAGTACTTTCAATAAGCAATATGTACTTATCCTTGAAGTTCACAATTTTTTTTCAATTAGAAAAAGGAAACATCGAATACTTCTTATTTGTCGGATCCAGTTGGTCGAACGGCGCAATCCGGATTCCATACCCGGATTGAAAGCGGTCAGATCCTGGCTACGTATCTAGATCGGCAACCATTCATATTTCTTCGTTTCCGATCGTCAAAAGGAAACCATCGGAAACGTAGTCCGGAATACGCCTTCGGAATAGGGAAAATCCCCGGACCAGACAGTTTCCCACCGTATGTATTTGACCTGGGATATTGTTCTCAATAACGCTCTTGCTGGCAAGAATATTTCAGAACAAAGACGATGAATGAACCAACGAATCAAATGAGAAAAACAACAAAAAGAAAATAAACATTTAACTCTAATTGATTTCTGCCTCTCCCACCTATTCTTATGTAAAGACATATAACTGAGTATTTGAAACAATCTAAATAATATTTACAAAATCATCAGTAATTATTGATAATTGGTTTTTTGATAGTCGCTATTATCTTGAAATCATCATAAAATAGTTTCTATTGTTAATACTTGTTCATCAAAAATTAATAAAACTTGATTATTGCTACTGACATATTAGAATACTTTCACTGCTAGTAAAATAATCATTATTTTGCATAAACACACCAGGAGATCTATACTTTATTATAAAATATATCTCAATTAAGATTTCAAGTTGTATATGATCTTACGGTTAACGTTTGACGAACATATTTTCCAATGAAAGACAACGATTTTTGAGAATAGTGATTCCGCTCCACAATGAATATAAGACCGTATGGAAAAGGGATACTTCATTTTTCTGAAAATCTTTCAATAATAGTAGGAGTATAGTCTTTGGATTTTGATATTTTCACTCATGATTATGACATGATGAAAGTAGAGTAACAATAATTGAGTCATATTTTTAAGAAAAATCTGACTTATACTATTCAGTAAGACACATGTTGCGGTATAATTATAAATCAAATACATCGAGTTCAAATTTTCAAGGAAATTTTCGACAATTTTCATGAATTCTACGTATTCAAGACGATTGAAATCATAATGATTCAAGTAACTTTGTGTTCATCATTTTGTAGAAAATTTCAGTTCTTTGTAAACGTTGTCAAGTGTATGTTCATGAGGCTATAAAATCTGTCATTGTATATGTATTGTGAATATGTAAGCTGAAGATGATCGAAAAAAAGATCGAAAATTCCAGAACACTAATTAAATGAAAACAAAAACACAAAGCTACTTGAATCATTATGATATCGATTTTTTTGAACATCAAGTTCAAATGGTTTTGTCTTTTAAAAACAATAAAAATCACAAGGTAATGCGACGTTTGCGTCGCCAACCCTCTACTGAAAGGATTTAGTCATGTGGAACGTAGCTATCCGAAACTATCTAGCTGAGAGACTTCATATTTTATAGCTTCTAGCTTCGAAACGATTTTCATGGAAAACACGATTGAAAACCGAGCATAAATAGAAAACTTGCTTGGAAGTATCACCAAGAAAGCGGCATTTAATTACTACTTACTAATATATATGGCGATACTGAAGTTAAGTGCATCCGATCTGCTACAGCTCAAACTACGCCCCCAAAAACA